TAGGTCTATGGCCTGCGCAATCTTCCATCCTCCTTTGCTTTGTTCGTCTTGAACTTTGTAAGTTCTACTTTCACATGATACCGAGCAAAGGGCCAGCCACAAGTAGTCCTCCATTGATCTAAAGGAATCCCCGATCCGGCATTCGCAACCGTCTTGTTTTACCCCTTGCTGAGGTAGATACAGCAAAGAGTTGTGACTTGTCGATGGGTGGCTCCAAGGTCGATCGAACTACCTGTGGCTCCGCCTCGAACTTTGCCTCGTCTTTCGAATCGGCTTTCTTCCTCTTCTTCTCTGTCTTGGGCTCCGTCGAGCCGACCTGGGCGGGCAATGTCTCTCTTGCAACCACCATTGCTCTGTTAAGAGGCATCTCCTCCAAGGCGTCTTCTATGTACCTCAGTACTGCCGAGGATTTCCATCTGCCCAGGAACGAGGTGTCGTAGATCCCCAAGCCCTTCCGCGTGTACATCATGGCTCCCGATCTCCTGGCCGAGTGCCCTGACATCCTCGGGTTGAGGTTGTTCTGCCAGGCCCTCGCCAACTGTTCCTTGGAGACTTGGGCGCCTTTGTACGTCGGGAAGAGTGGGCTCTCATTGTTCTTCAGGCAGCTGAGGGCTCTCACAGCTAAGTCCCATGGGCACGTCACATCACATTGCTTGGCTCCGCAGCATTGCAATGTCCTCCACGCTCCCTTGGCTTGCTGACCCGTCTTGGACTTTGGGATGAAGAGGCGCACTTCTCTTTTCTTCCAGTTCAAGCTCACATGCTTGGCCTTCACTGTAGCCGCCTCCGCCGCCCTCAGCATCCAATGCGTTGCCCAAGCATAGGACCAGGCCACACGCACCGGCTCGAAGGTTTTGGCGCTCTCAATCCCCCAGAGCAAGTCGTCCATCTCATCCAGTCTCACTTCCAATGCTCTCTTCTCTGGCCCACTGTCCCTTTTCAAGGCTTTCTTGCACAAGACGAGCCTTCTCTCCAATGCGTCCGTCCATTGATATCCTGACTCCACGTGCCACAACTTGAGCTCCGCCACGTACTGGTCCGATGACTGCATGTTTGGTCTGGTCCAGTAGCGCTGATAGCTGCGTCAGAGCGTCCTCTCCAACCACCCTCAAGAGCTGGGACATCTTCCGTCGCTTCGATTGTTTACTCAGCCAGGTAGACGTGGCGTGGAACTTCATCACAAAGCGGTTGACTGTGCCCTCCACCCACTCCTTGGACCGGGCCCTGTCCACCACGTCTTCGATGGTCAAGGTCATCTTGGACTGGCGTGCTCCAGCATCTGTCCCAGCACGCCTCCTGGCCTCCTCACCCGTAGGAATCTCTCTCTCGTCCCGCCTGGGCTCTGGAGCGACCGCGCGTCTTCCTCGACCACTGCGGACATCCACTCCGGACGGCCTGGTGGTGTCATTGAGCTTTCCACTCGCCTTGAGGTCGCCGGCTCGACTAGTGTCTCCCCTGCTGAATTTGCTGCCCCTGTCCGACTTGGAGATCCAGTTGCTGCATCCGCGGACGCTGAGCGAGGCCTCGGTGGTGATGTACTCGTTCCTGGACCTCCCCACAACTGGCGTAGCGGCCTTCGAGGCTGGTGTTCCGAATCCGAGTGACGGTGCATAGATTCCGACCTCACCCTCGGACTTGAGCTCCTCCGCGATCTGTGTCTCCTCCCGCTGTCTTCGCTGCTCTCCATCGCTCGCCTCCTGCGGTGGACCGGCTCGTCGCCCTCTGCCTCCTCCCAATGGCTTCGCCGCGACTTGTGCCACCATGTTGATGATCGCCATCCCGCCATGAACGCTAGTATGACCGCCCATACCGAAAGTATGCAACGGACGGCGCGCCATGCCAAGGCGCTCCCTCAGCGGGCGGGTCCCCGGCCCAAGGTACAAGGGCCGTCATGGCTAGATGAACGAATCAACGTCAGACACATGCACACATGCCTTCGACGGAAGCGACGACGTCCGAACCGGTCGACGATCGAAACCTGGGCGGATGAGAACACGACCCTGCCAGCCCGCCCCCTATAGCTTCCTTTTCACGGCTCGCGTGGCCAGCGCGTGCGCCGCACTAGGTCGCTCTCTAAAGCGACTCCCACACGTTGCCCGGATGCTGGGGCAGGCCGGCCCAAAAATTGCAGGAGACGCGTCGGAAATTATGCCCCACTCCGCCGGCTTCTCTTTCAGCCACATGATGCGGTTCTGGAGCTTGAAGCCGTTCGCATCCAGCATCGCAATGAGCCAATGAAGAGCTGCTCCCAGCCTTTTGACTGCAACGAGGCCGACCTTGGGCCACTGATCTCCGTCACGACCTTTGGCTGGCGTCCGTTATCACTGCATAGAACACTGATGTAGTCCATCTGAGCCGTGGAAGAATGCCCGCCATCCATGACAGTCGGCCTGTGATCGCCCTCAGCTCCTTTAGAGAGATCATATACCTTTGCCGGTCCACTCCACCAGGGTGTCGTACACCTCCTTGCACATCTTGAAGGGCAATCCGACTGTGATGCGGCGACCATTCTCAGGCTTGCGGGTTTCAAACACTTCGAACTGCGTCCCAATCCATTGTACCCGAGTGCCTCGCTCCCCCTTTTCCAAGGAAACCATGACGCCCTGCAGTGCATTCATGGTGTAGAGGAGCATGGAGAGCACCTTGCGCCTTTCCTCGGGTCGTCCCCTCATAGCTATCAGCAGATCATCAACGTAGATCTGCAAGACCGCCTCGTCGGACTTTACCAAACTCTGTAGGAGTCTGCCCAGCGCCGCACTCAATCGTCCCATCAAAAGTGGCGCTGCATTGAACCCAAACAGCATGGCCACCCACACCAGTGCTTGACCCTCACAGACGTCCGGGGAGATACAGTGTTGTAGCTCGTCCCGGGTCACTGCGAAGTGGCAGAAAGCGTCTGTAAGGTCCACCAAGGCGAACTCTGACGTGCGTTCAGGGTCCGGCGATACTGCAGGCTCCGGCTCGTCCATCTAGAGCTTCCTCATTGCTCTCAGCACGTCGCTCACCCTCGGCAACACTATTCGCTCGAAAACTTCTGCACGGGCGTTACCTCCACTCCGAAGCATGTCGATCACTATCCGTTTCTTTACGGAAGCATCTGTCTTCTGCTTCAAAATCAGGGCGAGTTTTGACACTGTGCCAATGCTGTATGCGTCCCTAGCGGCCGTCCATGGCATTCGCCGTACGAAGCCCTTCGCCTCGTACCTCGCGATCTCTTCCTCTGCTTCCTTGGGGTGCTCCTGAACGGACGCGTAGTTGACCATACCCTGGCACTCCTCACACTCCACTTGCGACTCCACGTACTGGATCTCCTGATTTCTGGCCGGGGGGAAGATTCCTCGAGAAGGTGGTATCTTTGATGACATCCCCAAGGGCACGCCCTCCCGGATGAATTGCTGTATGCACAGGTCCGGGTCTTTCGAAGCTACCTGCCAAGCGTGCCATAGTTCAGGAACTAGGGGCGACTTGTACTCCGTGTTGGCCCGGAGTAGGATCCCTTCCATTTGAACGGGGCCCCCAAGCGTCGCCATCATCCTGTCGCGCCAGCTCTTGGTCAGCTCCTGGTCGAACTTTGCCTCCCGACTCCCATAGGCGCTCCCGAGCTCCTCTAGGTCGGGCTCCTCTTCGTAGAATTTCTCCCAGGCCTCCCGCAACTTCGCTCCCACCTCCCTGACCAGTGTCAGCCGCTCCACTGCCAGGTCAGGGTTCCGCATACCGCCGATGGACACGTCGTTCTCTGCCTCCTTGAGCTCTTTCTTGGGCACCTTGGCCATGGATCGCGGGAGGCCTTGCTCGTTCCAGATCGTCTCCAGGGACCTTTCGAGCTCTCTCTTGTCCCGTTTGGTATCTTTGATGGCAAGTCCTCGAAGTTTGCGCTCTTCGTTGATGAGCCATTTCTGCTGCAAACTTGAAACCTCCGCCACCTTCATGCGGACTTGATAGCGCCAAAACTCCAAGGCGAGCGATTTCTTCCACGCTTCAACGACCAACTTCGCGATGGCGTCGCAGAGGAGTTTCGGGTATGCAGCCGAGCGCTCAGTCTTGGACTTGCCCATGAGCGGTTCGCGACGAACCCAGTTCGGGCAGCGGCACACTCTTCTAGCCTCCCAGCCCACTTGGCCGGCTTGTACCAGCGGACATTCTCGGTCATATAGGAGCAGGTCGTAAATTCTACGTACTGCGCCTCGACCTCTGTCAAATAGCCCTTTGTCTCAGGGATGTTCCAAGCCGACCCCACACGACTGTCACCAGGCGGGTTCTCAATCATTGCCAAGAGAGGCACCGCTCTCGCCCTGCAGCTGCCGATCTGCTTCTGCACGAGGTGTGTGGTCTGCACAGCCATCAACGTGCCCTTATCCGCTTCTGCCTGCTGCTCTGGCGTGTTGGTTGGCAGACCGTAGATCTCCGCTCCGCTTCGAACTGGGGGAGGTCCCTGTCCTGCTTTGTTCCATCTGGCCCTCGAAAACGAACCGCACGGAAAGCCCCCGTGCACGTAGTCGAACGCGCCTGCGACGATGTCCTCCTCGATCAGTTCGAGGCTGGCGTGCTCAGGTCGATCTCACTCCATCTTCCTGTCCAGGGAGGTCGCCCCGAACCTTAACTTGTGCTTCTGGCACTCCTCCTCCAAACTTCATGCCAAAATATCTTCTGGTCCACTGAATAGGTGAAGGAAGGTGAAGACCCGGTTGTCCCGGTAATCCGCCAATGTCTTCGCCTGCTCGAGCGCTTCCTCCACCCTCCTCGGCATCCACACTGGTCTCGTCTCCCTTAGCTGCCTGCCCCGATGCGGAGCTGGCAGCTGCAGCATCAGTCGACTCCGGCTCGGCCATTGCCGCACCGAACACACGCGCTCGAGCTGACAACCCAGGCTGCGACGTCAACTGATGCGAACGAACGAACCCGGTGACCGAACCTGGTGGCCCTTCCCCCCCCTCCCAATCCCTCGCGTCCCTATGCCCTACAGTCACATCGGGCACTGGTCGTCCTGGTGAGACGGGGAGAGACACTTGCGGCACTTATATGCGCTCGCTTCACTGCGCCTAAACACTCAGCTCCAGGTGGAAGTTTCCCGCATACTCCGGTTCCGGATGCCCACGAGAAGCAAAGAGGGGTGCCTGACTGGTCTTTCGACTTCCCCTGACCTGCACCGCCTGCCTCGTCCGCCTCGCGCTTTGCCTCCATGCCTGGCAGATGTGACAGCACTTCAGCATCAGACGCCACCTTCAGTGCCCCTCGGCTTCGGCTGCAATCCAAGCGGCTGCTGGGTGGTGTACTTTCTCAGCCCAAAAGGTTGAATCCTTCACGAGCTCCCGGAACACGCATGACCACGGGTTCAATGGGTCCCACTCTTCAGGCACTTGACAACCTCTACCTCCCTCGATGTCCAAGTGCCTTCTAATCTTCAAGACGTTCTGCACGAGCTGTGTCTTCTGCCGTGTAAATAAGCGACCAACACTGGGGGTACTGAATCACGAGCTTCTCGATGTGCCTGAAGTATAGCTCTAATGCTGCTAGGTTCACGATGTTCAGCATGAGGGCGGAGCACTTGAAGACCTTCCATGAACAGGTCCAGGCCTGAAAGGAGCCCGGACCCGGGATATCTCTATACAGGAATGACCCATCCCCCAACGGGGTATAGGTCCTGGTCTTCTGGGTCTTCGAGGTCCTGCGTCCGAAGGGCAGCCAACTGGCGAAGTCACAGTAGGGCGCCTGGTTGTTTGTTATCACCCGTTTCGCCAAAGCTGCCACTTGAGAATTGGTGGGCTCCTCTGACTCCTCCGGCGCCGCCCCCATCACTGCTATGTAGTTTTGCCACCACCTGTTCACGTCCTTGGCTTCTGGGGGCATCAGCTCCGACTCGTCGCACTGGTCGATCAAGGATTGCATCTTCAGTACGTTCTCTTTCAACCCTGAGCTCCCTTGAGGATGTGGTCTCGTCGAAGTCGTGCCTGCCCCCACCGGCGCCACGGGCAGTGCCTCCGAAGGTGTCCATGGATCCTCGTCTACGAAATTCTCCTCCGCCACGTTTGCTCTGAAAGCCATGATCCTCCTGCTCATGCGCCATACCAGCCCCACCTGCGTTGCTTCCAATGGCGTCAGGGGACCGTTCGAAGTCGTAGCTGCGCCACAGCCGCGACCACAGTGCCTCGAGGGATGGCCGAGAAAAGGCCGATAGCATTGCCCGGGTCTCCCAAATGCGCCGTCACCGCGATCCATACCTCGTCCGATACGTTGAAGTGATCGAGAACATCAGGAAGTTGCGAATAGCCTCCCAAACCACTCCATGGACCAAACAATGCCATGGGAAGCCACGCGCGCAACCCCCTAACAGCCTCCACTCACACAGAAAACGGTGCAAATGGAGGAGGGACTTGAGCCAAAATGGCATTCAAATCCCTCCTCCACCCTTCTACACTTAACTGTTGCGTGGAGAGTAAACTCTCTCAAACACTAAACTACACCGGCGTAGGCGTAGACCCCAAACAGTTGAAGCGAAGCAACATGAAGTTTTTGCAACGTTCTCAAGCTCAAGCTCATACCGACCCAAAGCACAGCCATCCAAAGCCAGGACACATGTAAGAATCACCGCTCCACATTTGGAAAACCCAACACGAAGGCGGGAAACAAACTTCAAGAATTCAACATGCAGCCAGCTGAGGATGGAAACACTAGCGAACAAGTGTACAGTAAGTCAGTCAAGGAAGGTGGACACCAGCCGAAGCGGACAAACAAATGAAGGCCAAAGAGATGGAGCAAGAGGAAACACGCTTAGTCCGCTTAGTTAAACATCATTGACAATCACAACAGTAAACTGTTTGGAATGAAATGTCTGCGCAACATGCGTTTGTTCAAAGAGTAATCTTGCAACAAAAAACATATGTTTTCTGCTGGGAGTCTGGGAAATGAGTTGTTCACTGAAAGCAACCATGTCGTGCGAGGCTGCACTCATTGCCCGTAATGTCTGCACAGCCTAACAGCAACACGATTTCAGCAGCGAAAAAAAAACATGATTTGCATTCTTTTGCTTAAGGCTAGCTGGCTTGGTGCCTCGTCACCCAACCACCGATCATTGGTTTTGATAAAGGCCTCCAAGTCCTGAAAACGCTCATATAAGTATCTGCTCAAAATGCTTGAATGCTTGACATGTCAGTGATCCCTCCATGGCCTCTGCAGTGGCTGGCCTTGGTGGCATGAAGCAACCAAAAGGCAAAAGAGGGGTTCACGTGCCTTTGCGCAACCATCTGCTTGGCCAACAGGAAACTCCCAAGTGCAGAAACACTTGCATCTTGTGGAGCAAAATCACGCTGATAGGCCACGCGTGCCCGAGATGCAGGTGAGATTTTGCTCGTCGGGCTCAAGTGTGTAACATTTGGGACCAGAGGGCTGAGATGGGCGTGAGGCGTGAGGTGGAGATTCAAACAAAAAGAACGGTAGAGGTGTGTGAAGACAAGTGGCAGGTAGACGAGATCTCCAACTAAATGTCTATGCGGCGTTCCAATGAACAAACAAACATTTAGATATATCCTTCTAGAGACCAGCACAGAACACCCCGAACAGCACATGACCCTTCACCACATTGCAGTAACGACCACATCGCGAATCACCAGACCACCAAATGATGCAAATTGACGAATGTCCACACAGTCTCGCCACACAAATAGCATTGGACTGTTCCACGTCCTCGGGCCCACCGACCGGCTCTGGAGATGACTGGCATCTGGAACAAGAGTCTCGAGAGACTGGCATTTTGACGATCAGCCTGTTCTTGTTATATGCTTCAAGTAATGTTTTCTCAGAATTAGGCTGAGCAGCGGTTCTTTCCTTTAACGTGTATCGACATGTTAGATTCGAACCCAACTTGTGAGGGGCTATTGGATGTTTGCTTGGGATTCGGCAACTGAAAACAAATAATACCAAAACTGCATTTGCAGCTTCCAGGCTGCCAAAAGCGCTTTCTGTGCATTGGCGGGCACAGGCTCGTCGCAACCCTTTTGTTCAGGCATGCTTGGGCCTTCTGGTGAGTGGGACGGACTGGAACTACTGTGGTTGCCGTGCACTCATGCGGTATTGCAACGCTTGCAGAACTGGCAGGCATGCCGTCAGTGCATAATGCATAGTGCTTTCAACATTGACCGCAGCTACAGATACGCTCACGAATCGTCTTTGTCCGCATGCTTAAACAATTTAAACAATACCCACGAGATCAAGAGGGCAAACACCAATTCATGCTAATACTCCAATTCATTTGATACAGGACATTCCACCGATCCTTGCAATTCCACACTTAACTTGAGGACGCCATATGACGATTGCGACAAACTGCATACAGTGGTCAAACAAGCGGCATATCACAAGCGATCACTTTCGTCCATTTGTTTGGGCAGCAAATGCACCTAAATTACTTTATTGCACGCCTTGAGTTTCAATCGTTAGCAACGTGTTCCCAAACTGTCACCGGAAACTCCCTCGAAATTGGTTTAACTTCACAAATGGGTTGCTTGTCTGAGTAACATTCCTTATGATCAACACCTTTGCTACGCAGGGTTTTGTACCGGGCTTCTTCGACTAATCTATGAGTTGGTTTGATGATTTGTATGTGGTTGTGGTTTCTGGCGACAACCTAGCCTCAGGCGCCGTCTAGATGATAATATATATATATAGCTACCCCCCCCCCAAAGATCTACCAATGTTGCCTGTTGCATGCGTGTCTCAGTGATATTTTCAGATATCAGATGCTGTTTGTGGGTGTCAGATGGTTGATAGGCTCACCGCGTGCATTTACTATGTTTATTGTTCACTTGTCCCTATCACAGACTGCCAAAACCAAAACAAAAAACTCTTGTCCCTATCACAGACTGCCAAAACCAAAACAAAAACTCATTGTTTGTCGGTCTCCAGTTGCCTATGCCTTCTTCAAAGTTCAATATTCCAGTCTGATAGGATTTTATGAAATGATTTGTTTTGCCCATCACTCTAGTCAAATCGTCTTCATGGATCGTGAAGGCATCACTCTTCACTGAATAGACCTTAAAATTGCGAGTGGATCTTAATCAGCGAAGTTTGAAGCTATCACTGACGATCCATAAGCGGCGTAGCGTCGGAACGGAAACCGCACCTTTTCTAGTCGCTTGATCCTTGAGCCAAAGTACATATGGTACATATATATGTACAAGTTGCACTGTACGTGTCGCTGCACTTCCATTCGCACCCCCCATGTGAACGGCAACAATATGTTCCGATCACACACGAAAATTTAGGGATGTAAGTGCTACAAAAGAAATTGTATGATTTGCTGCGAGACTCATATGAGGCTCATACTACGAAACATGCTGGACTAAAGCGGACTTTTACATATAAAGTGTGCAACTATGGCTCAGAACCTATGAAAAATCGAATTGAACAAGTGAGACAGTCACGAGGCCTCGCTCAGTATCCACTCAAAAGAGCATCGCTTTGATGTAGATCCGAACTGGTGACTTCCACGTAGATGTCACATCGGCAACTGGCTTCACACTTCTCAAAAGATGTAGGTTTTGGTTTGGATACACTTACAGAACGGCAAGACGGAGAGACAGTCGGTGACTGTCTACCTTCCATTATGCTCATGGTATCAAATCGTCAATCCGATGATTTGCAATGATACACTTACAGCGTTTCAGATCAGATAGACATCCGGTGAATGACTTCCTCCCTGGTTTGCATGGTATCCTCATAGTCGTTCAAAGAAATCACCACTGGCGATAACCTCTCCATCCACGATGATCCCAGCTGCCCTGAGCATCCCGCCGATCATCTTCTCCCTTCTTGGACTTTCCCTTGGACTTGCTCTTTCCCTTCCCCTTTTCAGAAGGTTGAGGTACTTCGCGACGTTCTTGCGTTAGCGCCGGCCTCCAAGATGTTCCAGATTGGCCTCCTCCTTTGGAATGTCCTCGGGATGATGAAGAAGTTGTACCTTCTGCTGCATGTGCGTTGGCGGCAAGATCTTCCTGCAAAGCTTGCTCAAACACATCGGTAGCACTGGATGGTGATTTATCATGTGGTCTGGCTTTTGGAGCAGCCTTCGCCTTGTTCTCCTCTGCTGATGAGGGCCCGAAACTCTTAGGTGCTCTTGAAGATTTTGGCTCCTCACTTGGTGCTGACGACGGCTTGGCCTCGGTTCTGGGTGTAGATGCTGGCTTTGCCTCAGCTCTTGACGAAGATGCTGCTTTCGCTTCAGACTTAGTCGTTGATGTTGACTTAGCTGTTGCCTTGGCTGCCTGCTTCTTCTTGCCCTGAATCTCCTTGGCCCTATCTCCAAAGCCTAGACGATCGGTAAGAGCTTGAACATGCTTCTGTTCTACCACGCTCATCCATCTCTCTGTATGTCCAATGTTGGGATTTCTGGCCATTGACTCTACGACATTCTGAGCGTGTGGGGGCAACCTGATCTCATGTTGATCAATGATCAGCAGAATAGACTTCTCCCATTTGCTCTTCATTCTCGAGTACATGATGTCCAGAGGATCGATCACCTTGTGGTTGGGTGATGTAACGTCGGTTCTAAAGTAAGAATATGTCCGACAACCATAAATCGCATGGATGCACTTCTGTACCAATTCAGTCATTGCGCTGGCTTTCTTCGCTTTCAACTCCTCAAGCTGGACGTCAGTCAAGTTGGTGGAGTATTCGAAGTTGCCATATTCCTTCTTGAAGGAGTACGGAGTATGACCAAATGATAGGATCACGAGTGCCACCTTGCAAATGAATTGCTCTCCTCTGAATCGGTGCCAGGCCTCCTCAATCGTAATCTTGTTTTCGTTGGCAAAGATTCTCATCATGTCATCTGTTGGATCCAATGGTCTCCCATCGTCATCGATTTCAGTGAAATCCTCTGTACCGAACTTGCTTATCACATCCAGTCGCTTCCTTTTCCAATTTGCTTTGAAGTCGGTAAGGCTGGTGCAATAGTAGCTCTTGTACATCAGGGAGATCATGTTCAGCACACATTTGACCACATACCTATCCATCAAACCCGATGCATTCACGGAGACGTCCTGACAGTAGGCTCTCTCTTGATGCGCATAGATTCGAGGTTCCGGTACTCGACAATAGATGGGGAGATCTTCGTTGTCTCTTCCTTCTTCGGGATTGAACTCGGTCGCTCCATGCTGTGCATAGTATCCCGGTTCATCACGATCTGTCGGTCGATTCGCCTCCGGATGTAAGTCGTCGGTGACGTCTTCATCCTCGGGTTCACCATCTTGACATTTTTTCCCCTCATATTGTTGTGTGCTCCTCTGGATCTCGATGATCACGTTTCGTTCGTCTTCATCTTCTAGATCAGAATCACGATCGTAGTCGATCTCGTCCTCATTGAAAGATGGGGTCTCGACATTGTCACTTTTGAAGTTTTCTGCACCATCAGACGGTTTGGAAGGATCTAGATTGTCCATGTCCTCGTCGTCGTCAGCTGCTTCAGTTTGAGCGATGTCTTCTTCCCAAGCCTTTCTGATCTCGTCCATAGTGGCCTGGTCCAAGATATCTTGATCATCATCTTCAGGCTCCTTCTCTTCCTTCTTTTCCTCTTCATCGTCGCTCACAAGATCAACGGGTGAATCGGAAATGACAGTGTTGCGAATACCACACGAGAGTAGCCTGCCTTGACAAGATAGACACACGGACAAAGATGAAGAAGTCAAATGCATACATGATGGACACAAAATATTGCCATCCACGTTGCGATACCCTTCACATGTTCTGGAGATGATTTCGTCCCAAGTTTCCTCACTGATGGAATCCTCGATCAGCTCTCCATTGTCATCGAATTGTACTTCATCGATAAGGGACACGAGCTTTTGGACGTTGTCATCTGTCGCCGAGGCTGACTTCGTGACTTCGTCGGCTCTCTCGAGGATGGTATGCTTCTGAGCAACCCAAAGTCCATGACGTGCCGCTAGAACAACTTGCTCTCCAGTGCTTCCCAGCAGGAGTCTCCTCCATGCCTGAACGTAGTCGTCCCAATACCAAGCACCTCGTACACATCTCCATGGAACTTCTCTAAAAACAACAGTGTAGGAATTCTCCGAAATTCTTCCCCCAAGCTTCCTCAAAGTCATGATTGGAACATAAAGGCAAACGGGCATTCCCACTCTTGGCCATCTTGATCTCAGAATCTTTGATGATCGATCATCCCACGGCGCAA